AGGGCAGTGTCACTGGCCCTCATATGTGGGATCCGAACTGGGACCCTCTGGCGTCCCAAGCCAGTTCTTAACCATCGCGCCACTCAGCCAGCCCATGGTCACTATTTCTAAATAGAAACTCTCAGCGCTTTTGACCTAGTAATTGTGTATCTGGGATCAATAGAAGTACTAGAGAAAGAACTGCATAAATGGCCATTAACAAAAAATATTGGTTAAATTATAATAATACATGATATGCTATAGCAATTTTTAAAATGAGTTGGAATTACCTATGATGAAATTACAACTGTAACACAATTGGGAACCTTAAATGAGACACTTGATTTCATCTTGTCAGTTTAAACTACATTATCATTTCATGCACTCATAAGACCATGTTCTTCTTCATCTTCTTTTTTTTTAATTTCCCACCTTTTTTCTCCAGCTTTATTGAGGGATGAATGACAAATACAAATTGTATATATTTAAGGTATACAGCATGATGTTTTGATAAATGTATAAATCATAGTGCAGTGATTACCACAATCAAGCTAATTAAGATGTTCATTTGCTAAGATCTGGAATTTATTCATCTATAACTGAAGGTTTGTACCCTTTGAACCACATCTTTCTTCTCCCTCACCTCCTATTCCCTGGTAACCACTATTCTCCTCTGTGTTACTATGAGTTCAACTTTATTTTTTTAGATTCCACATATATGTGAAATTATGTAGTACAGTAAAACCTTAGATTGCGAGTAACTTGGTTTGCGAGTGTTCCACAAGACAAGCAAACATTTCTAATACATTTTAACATGGTAAACGAATGATGTCTTGCAATACAAGTGGTTTGTTTCCAGAACGAATTATGCTCGCAAACCAAGGTATTATTGTATTTGTCTTTCTGTATCTGGCTTATTTCAGTTACTATGATATCCTCCAGGTTCATCCATATTGTCACAAGTGGCAGGATTTCCTTCTTTTTTAAGGCTAAATAGTGTGTGTGTGTGTGTGTGTGTGTGTGTGTGTGTGTGTAAAATCACATTTTCTTTATCCAGCCAGTGGAAACTGAGGTTGTTTCTGTATTGTGGCTACTGTGAATATGCTGCAATGAGCATGGGAGTGCAAATATCTCTTTGAGATAGTAATTTTATTTCCTTTTGTTAAAGTAGGAATGCTGGTTCATATGGTAGTTCTATTTTTAATTTTGGGGGAAGTCTTCATATTGTTTTCCATAATGCTTGTACCAATTTACATTCCCACCAAGAGTGTATAAGGGTTCCCTTTTCTCCACATCATCGCTAACACTTCTTATCTTTTGACTTTTTGATAATAGCTGACCTAACAGGTGTGAGGTGATATCTCATTGTGGTTTTGATTTGCATTTCCTTGATGATTAGTGAGTGATATTGAACATCTTTTCAGATAGCTATTGACCGTTTGTGTGTTGTCTTTGGAAAAATGTTTATTCAGGCCCTTTGTTTATTTTTTATTATGTTATTTATGGGGTTTTTTTGCTATTGAATTGAGTTTCTTATATATTTGGATATTAACCCCTTATTGGATATATGATTTGCAATAATTTTCTCCCATTCCGTAGCTTGCCTTTTCATTTTGTTGATGGTTTCCTTTGCTGTGTAGAAACTTTTTAGTTTGATATAGCCTCACACTTGTTTACTTTTGCTTTTTTTACCTGTATTTTTTATGTCAAATCCCAAAAATCATTACCAAGACCAATTTCAAGGAGCTTCTCCCCTTAAGGAGTTTTATGGCTTCAGGTCTTATGTTTAAATCTTTAACCCATTTTCAGTTGATTTTTGTATAAGATGTAAGATAAGGATCCAGTTTCTTTCTTTTGCATGTGGCTGTCCAGTTTTCCCAACACTATTTATTGAAGAGACTGTCCTTTTCCCATTGTGTAGTCTTGGTGCCCGAGTCGAAGATTATTAGTTGACTGTGTATGTCTGGGTTTATTTCTATGCTCTCTTCTGTTCCGTTGGTCTATTTGTATGCTATTTATCTGTATGCTAGTACCAAATAGTTATGATTACTATCGCTTTGAAATATTTGAAAGCAGGAAGTGTGATGCCTTCAGCTTTGTCCTTCTTGCACAAGATTACTTGATTACTTTAATATTTCAGGGTCTTCTGTGATGCCATTCTAGTTTTAGGGTTTTTTCTATTTCTGTGAAAAATGACATTGGAATTTTTATAGGAATTGCATTGAGTCTTTAAATCACTTTGGGTAGTATAGACATTTAAAAATAATAATTATTCTAATGCATGAACACGGGATATCTTTCCATTTATTTGTGTCTTCAGTTTCTTTCATCAATGTCTTATAGTTTTCAGTGTACAGATCTTTCACCTCCTTGGTTATATTTATTCCTAAATATCTCAGTCTTTTGATGTTAAACATACTACTTTAAATTTTGTGCCTCGTGGTTCCATAATCTGTATCCCCTGTGAGACTCTTTCTTCTGCATGGTCTTTCTGATTTACTTTTTTCCTGTAATCTTATCTCTTTGTTATTTTTAATTAAGGGCCAGATATTGTGTATGAAAATTTGTGGAAATAATTTGAGACTTATGGTGATGTTATCATCTTCTAAGAAGATTGATGTTTATTTTTGGCAGGTACTAGCAATCCAGGATTGCCTTAATTTTGTGGTAGACATTTGAGGTTCAGTTCTATAAAGGCTAGTCAAGTTTTAGTTCATATTTATTCCTAGAGTGTAGCCCTTTGGGTTTCCAAACCAAAGTCTTGGTGTTTTACCACGTCCTCCTCCACAACTTGGTTCTCCCTGCATTCCAATCTTGGTCTTCCCAGCTCTGTAAAACTGTCAAAAGCTTCTTTAGCCCAAAATGCCAGGTTTTAGTTTATTCCTTGTAATTCTTCATCATGCCATTAACTTTCCAGTGCCTTCAGGAAGATTTAAATATACATATTTAGTTCTAGTTTTTCTTAGAGAAAAGATGGTTTGAAATACATAATCTGCCATAACGAGGACTAGAAGTTGACAGTATATAAGTGGAAGTAAACAGCATATAATTTACTCTTTTTACAATGTTAGCGCAGATTCAAAGATCATCACATAATGATGTCAGTTTTACCCACTTGTATTTTCACATACTTTCTTGGAGAAGGAGACAGGGTAAGAAATAGTTAAAGTGAGCCTACTAGCAGTTGCACATGTTGGATTGTCAAGCAGGTAAATACCTTCTTTTCATATTTGTCTTATCAGGAAAAAAATCGAAGACTATTGCTCTAATTGTAACACTTACTGCATTGTACTATAATTATTTTTTATATGACCACATCATTCATGAGACAGTGACACCCTTACAAAAAGGAACCCATTTTACCCATGTTCAGTTTCCTATTGCTAGACCTGGAGTTAAGTACCCAGTAAGTATAGAAATGAATGTATGTGTTGAAGATACCTTATTTGGCTTTTCAAAGTGAAAAGCAATATCAGTATATGCTGTTCTGAATCATACTAAAAGATACATTTTAATAGAGAAGGAAGAATCTTTTCTCACCAACTCTTTTGTTCCATCCTCTTCTACCAGGTGGCATCTCCACAGAAAGCGACTGTGCTTTTGAGCCCGACTACGCCGTCCCACCACTTCCAGTGAGTGAAGGTATGCAGCACATTCGGATTATGGAGGGCATGTCTCGCTCTCTCCCATCCTCCCCCTTACTCACACATCAGTCTATCAGTGTTCGGCTCCAACCTGTGAAGAAGTTAACTGGTAAGGACTTTACCTAAATTTAGTATGTTTAACAGGAAACCTAACAGTATGACACTTTAGGTCTTATCAGATATGTTTATGTGCATCTTTAGATTTTTTTCCTTTTTGGCTTTCCTAATGTCACAGACTCTTGGAGCTCCTACTGATTTTAATTTAGGGAATTAGAATAGTACTCAGTTTGACAGATTGATGTATTTATTTTCTAAACGATCCATCTGTTGTGGACATATTTTTCTAGGCTTTCAAGAAATTTCAAGTTTTGCCAGAATACACTGTTGTTCTGATTCCATTTATCAGCTTGTTCATGTCAGATTAACAGATGGAGGTATTATAATTTTAGCATAATAAGAGTTTCATAGTTCAGCAAAGGTCCGTCAGTAATATTTTTGTTTGAAATCCTGATTTGTATATTTTATATCTATTTTTAAAAGATGATTTAGATATTTTCATCTCCATTGTACATTCCTCAAACTTCTTAGGATACTTACTATCATTCATAAGTTGTGGATTGCACTGACTTGAATATGATCTCAGAATATGTATTCCCCATTTAGATCAAGTTGTTAGGTGTGAAACTGTGTCTTTATTAAATGAACTTTTGTTCTTTTAAGCTTTTTCAGGGAAGAAATTTTAGTATGTTGAATGATACTATTGTGTGAAAATATGGGTCACTGTGTCAGATTTCTTTTAACATTATCAGTATATATCCTATGTCAGTAAGTTGACTCGTATTGATGGGCTATGAGTGCATGGAAGCAAGAAATTAAGTCATTCCCAAAGGATATATTGACTATTTCCTATGTGTCTAGCATTGAACTAGATAGACAGTAGGGAGGTTTGATTATCATATGATAATTCTAAAGAAAATAAGAGGAGAGAGGGGAAAATGGAATTTTTAGATTCTTTCATCTATTTTGAATGAAGCTTTTACAATGTTTATAATTTTCATTAAAATAATAGAATTTCTTTATTCTATACTTTCATAAAGTATAAGTCGTGCCTCATATTGCTTATTGTTTTTTAGGTATCTTCAAATAACTGAGTTAAAATCTACTTTGATTCTTGGGTCATTAGATAAAAATTAGTAAAATAGCTTAGTAACATACTACTGAAATACTTATTTCCTTCTGATATCTAAAAATAGGATGAATTTTACTTAATTGGGCTTGAATAAAATTTTATTGCTTACAAATCTTCCCTTTTTCTTGCAGTTTAAGGTATTATTGATTATTGAAAATAACACATAACCAAATCTGATGGCTGTAAAGTGGTGTGCTTCATTTTACCACACATTTTGGAAGAAATAGCAAAAAAAGTTCATTTTCCTTGTAGAAGTTAGCTCGATTGCCTGAGGTTTTGGAGATACACTTTTCTATCCCATTTGCTTGTCCCAGTTTGATCTTCAACTTAAATAGGCAACCTTTATTAAACGATAAATATGTTTATTAACAAAGTCAATAACATGTCACAGAGGTGATATAGGGAAGCAGTAATAAGAGGTATACTTGGTTAATTACATGTATGAACTATTCGGTTTTAATTTTCCAGTGTTTGAAGTATATGTATCCTGTCAATAGTTTTATATTATTTGTTGAAGAGACTGTCAAGGGCCTAAGAATTTAGAAATTGAGAATGCGTTTTTAAGTTTCTGAATGAAAGAAATCTGTTCTGAAGGAGGATGTCATGAAAATTTTTCTGTGGTCAATTATCTTCCAATTGAAGCAGATGATAAGAATTTTCTGGTTTAACATGGAATGAAATTACTTTCAAAGTTAAATTAAAAATCTTATTAGATTGTTCATCAGTTATCTTTCCTTTTCTAATTATATTTTGTTATGAATAAGTAAAAAGAAAGTTGAATGGAGAAAGATTAACTGACCATAAGGAAATGTCTTCCAGAGAGTGGTTCTTAACAAAATGCATTCATTTCATCTGGCCATTAGTGCTATATGAACTAATTTAGCTGTTTCCATGCATTTAAACTCCCAAGTGCCTTATATTCCTTGTATTCATATTACCAACCAAACTAAGTAGAGCCAGAGTAGTCATCTTATTCTATTTTCTTTCTAATGTTCTAATTAGTCTGTTGTCTCCGCTGTAGTCAAGGTAGTTTGCTTGTTATTCTTCTGTGCTTTTTACTTAATCATTCAGCAGATAATTTTGTTTAGGGCCTACAATATGTCAGGCACTGTTCTAGACACATTAAAAGAGTGGTGGAAAAGACAATTAAATTAAGGCTCCTGACTTCAAGGTATTTATTTATATTCCAGTTGGGAGCGAGATTGATAATAAAGATATAACCAATAAATAAATACAGCAATACCTTGGTTTGCTAGCATAATTCGTTCCAGAAGCAAACTACTCGTATTGCAAGACATCGCTCGTTTACCCAGTTAAAATGTATTAGAAATGTTTGCTCGTCTTGCGGAACACTCACAAACCAAGTTACTCGCAATCTAAGGCACTTCTGTTTTAGATAGTGACAAGTACTATGAAGGTAATAAAGTAGGAAATGGGATAGAGACTGGGGTGGAGGTAGGATTTCTTTCTGTGGAATGTTAGAGAGAGTCAGAGGAGATATTTGAACTAAAGTGTCAGTAACAAAAAGAAGCCAACCATTGGAAGATCTGGGATTAGAGCCTTCCAAGCAGAGGGAACACCCAGAAGCAGAAAGCATCATTGGTATGTTCAAGGAATTGAAAGAAAGCAAGTGTGGCTTCAGCAGAATTAGCCAGAGGGGAAGGTTTTAGAAAATAGTTGAAGAGGTAGACAGAAGCCAGTTTTAGGGTCATGGTAAGGAACCTAGTCTGTAGGATTAGGCTGAAATGGGAAGTAATATGATCTGATTTACCTTTTAATCAGACCTTGTTGGCAAGTGTAAATTAAAGAATCCGGAGTATGAGGGACTAGAGTATCCTGTGTTTGTTAACCTTGTACAAGTTTTCCTGATTTTTAAATAGATCTGTAACTTCCAACAAGTTAAAGAGTGGTGAAAGAAACAATCTTTTTTTGTTTGTTTGATCTTGTAAGATATAATGAAGTAGTACCTTTTTCCCATCATTATTATATAACCTTTGTACTCTTAGCATATTTATTTTAGTCCTTCACACAGGTATATATGAAGACCCATTTGCAGAAGTAGGTTCATTCCATTTCCAAATACTTTGACTTACTTTCAGTCTTAAGCAAATGAGAATGAGGAAGGACCTGCTCAAGAATAGAAACATAACTTGGAGCTTGAACATTAATTGTTAAATAAATATATATATTTTAAAATTAACATACATATATGCACATATTTAAGTAAATATATATTTTAAATAGTTATATGCACAATAATTAAATATATATTTTTTAAATAAATAAATAAATATATATATATATGCACACATACACACATATACATACATACCTCGCTCTATTCAATACAAAAACATGTTAATGCAGTGAAAGTGGTTAAGAGAGAAGCAGGCTCTGTGGTCATACAGCTTGAGTTTGTAATCCATCTCATTGTTTAATGCTTGCTTAAAACTGCATTTGGTAACTATTAAGTGTTCAGAATGTGTTAGCTGTTATTGTTAATAAAATTTGTTTAAATTTGGTGAGAAGTTTTTTTAAATTATTTTTAACATCAGATACCAGTTTGGAACTTTAAAACTTTACATGTTTTAAAGGTCATCCTTTTTAATGAATGATAGTAATAATGATTATAATTCTTATTTGAATGCCTACTGTAACTTGAATACACATACTAGCTCATGTGTTCTTCACGTGTATCTCCGTATTACAGATGAGTAAATTAAGTCTTAGAGAGGTAAAATGTCTTGCTCAAAACAATACAACTAGGAAGCTGTCAGAGGCCAAGGTTAATACCCAGGCCCTTAAATTCCAAATTTGTTTCATTATACCAATGAAAAAAATTGAGGTTTAGAGAATTTAGCTAATTCACCCAAGGCCTCTGATAAATCAATTAAGGCCTTTTTTTTTTTTTTTTAGCTGAGCCATCCTGCCACCTGTTGGCAGCTCAGCTAGGGCATCGAACTGCCGTTAGCTCAGAGCTCAAACTCTTGAGTTAGCTCAGAGCTCAAACTCTTGAGTGAGCTCTTAACCAGCCGAGCCACTCGGCCAGCCCCAATTAAGGCCTTTTTATTCCAAGTTGTAGAAGATACAGCTAAATGGTTTAAGCAATAAAGGGAAATTAGAAGTCATAGAGGTTAGGCAAACCTCAAGGTTAACTTGACTTAGTTGGATATTGCTGTGCATTTAGGGAGATGTAGAAGAGAGTATATAAAGACAACATACTGTTGGCCCCAGTTATTTTTGGTAATGGGATTGTCATAGTTCTCTAGATTCTTATTCATTGCTCTTTCCAAGGTGTTTTTGTTCATAATATCATAAAGCTCTTCAGCATACTTCTTAAAATATAGATAATTAGGAAATAATCATTCATTCAACACTTACTTAATTTACAGTGTTTGGCTATTATGTACACTGTAAGTTTAGTAAAAGTTAAATTTTGAGTATTGACACTATTGGTAGGGGTGTAAATTGGTGCAATAATGCACATAATCCTTAACACAGTGATTTTGTTGCTAAGAGTTTACTTAATAAATAAATTTAAACAAGTCTGAAATGTATGTTTGTGTATACAGAGGGGTGCCAAAAAATGTATATACATTTTGAGAAAGGAAAAAACTATTAAAATTGTGATACTCAATATACCGATAACAGAAGATAAATACAAGTCACGTTTGACTTCTGCAATTACAAGAGGTGCTCAAAGTGGTTACCATCAGCATCCAGACACTTCTGATTATGGCGAACTACTGCTTGAGCAACGTTGACCAAAGTGTCCACTTATATACATTTTGTTGGCACCCCCAGTATATAGTATTGTTTATATAGTAAAAATGAAAATTTATTTATCAGTAATAGTAATCCCTTTGTGTTTTAAAATGATATACACTTACAAACATACATGCATACATTTGGTGTTGATG